GACGAGTCCCGACAAACAATGGAGACAAGTCTCATCGCCTGCGATTTCGCTGCAACAAACCTCTCCATCTGTCCTGATGAACCACCCGGTGCGGTGGCAGCCGCTCTTGACGGGAGGCGAGTCGCATATGCACAGACACCTGCCGCAAAAACCGCTGCACTTTGACCGCTTGTATTCTGGAGAGGCCTGGGCCCGCCACCCGTGCAGTCGGGGCTTCCGTATGTTGTGCATCCACCGTCTCCCACTCAGAGACGTCGCCGGACTGCCCGTTCTGCGCCTCGTTTCCACCCATCTCATCCGCGGCGGCGCCGTTGGGCATCTCTTGCTCCGCAACACATCGGCTGGCACTCTGGAGGGCCAAACCGTCGGCCAGGCGTCGGTCAAGTTGCCTCCCACCGTCGGTGTCTTTGGCTGCTTGGGGATTTTCGTGATGGCTGATTTTGGAATCACGGCACGTTTTCGCGCGCCGTGGGCCGCGTCCTGGACCCGTGCTGTGCGAGCCGTTCAGAAGTTCCTCTAACTGGCGCGGTTTCGCGTCAGCGTCTGCTATCCTCAAGGGTGGCTTTACACTGCAGCTTACAAATCCATTCACGTCGGGGATGTCTTGGCCTTCAGGGACATGTATGGCCCCGTCCAGCCACCCATACGTTGGGTTGAAGTAGACGACAGCCGAAAACACACCGGCAAATTCGCCTAACTGAAGCGCTTTGCCCTGAGCGCTGGGACCGGACTTTCGGACCTTGTCCTTCGCCCTTTTCTCTCGGGTATCAACTTTATTTTTGGGTGATAAACCGTCGGTCATGGTCGCCATGGTCCAGTAGTACCTCCCAGTGAACGCGTGTGCTGCCAAGTCCGCTGAGACTTTGATGGAGTCTCTACGGGACGGCAGCGCGGCAGCGCAGCAGTGCTCCCGCATATGGCTTTAAGCCAGAGTGAAGACGTCCTCACGTCCGTCGACATCCACATCTTCGCCAGGCCTGGCCAGATGATTTTCTCGAGCGTCGCTGTAGCAGGAAATGGCTTACGGATGCTGTTCTGGAACTGCTGCTTCTCTCCTGTTCCCTGCCACCCCACTCGAGGTGCTTTCCCTGATCCAAGGCCAAGGTCGGCTCTCAGTCAAGTGCGGGTCCGGCCGGAAGTGGCTCGCTGCACTTCGATCCACCATGGCCCTGCGTCTTTCGACCACAAACGACCACCCCGGGGTCTCGACCACACGCCGTGGCCCAGGTCGAGCCGCCTTGGGGCCGAGAACGATGCCCCACGTCGTCTGCGCCCACGACACCCGAGGACCCGAATGCTCGGGGACGAATGTCGCCAAGTTCTGTCGGCTGCCGAGTAGCCTACGCCGCAATCTGTGTTCTCGACGTGGCATATTCTGGTCATACCTTGGATGCACCCGACAGCTTCTTCGTCCTGGTCACCGGGCGTCTCAACGATCCGCCTTAGCCGTCCTGCCAGCTGCCCCTACCATCACTGCTACCGAGCCAACTTCTCAGATCGGCGTGTTCCTCGCAGTAGCATTACCTTTGTTCAGACGTCTTTGTTGCATACACGCTTTTGCAGTTCGGGTTTTGTTCACGCCATGACCACTTTCTGGCTCATCATTCTCCTCTGTAGCACCGTCAACCTCTTGCATCTCACCATGCGCATCTTCGAGAGGAAGACGCGAGACCGTCGATGTCACCGACGCGGGCAGCTTCGCTGCGATGAGTAGGCGCCGGACACGAAAGCTTGTCGGCCCAGTCAGGCTCTGGATCATCGAAACGCCATGGTTCTGGATCGGGTCTCACGGTAGATGGGAGAGGAAACTACATTACAATCGATCATGTTGAATTCCCTGCTCAGGGTGGCGTTTTCGTCGAACCGGTGTGCTTAGGACGAGACGACGATACCGCTTGTCGTCGTATCTGACGTAGTCGGCATTCGCTCTGAGGCGCAAGCTTGCCAGTGATGCAGTATATAGGGCACATCGCTGCCGCCAACAACAAGGACGTTGGACGAAAGTCAAAAACCCATCTCATGGCGTACGAGTTGAGCAGTGGAACAGACCCGCGCTCGTCGATCGTCTGCGGGCAAGCTTGATCGACTGGGAGCTCTTGGGATGGGATGAATACCAAGGTGGCTCTATCTGGTGAAGGACGTAGTCAACTGTACGCATTGCCCGTGTAAGGGCCCCTGGTGCATGCCTCGTGCTGGCGGAAGCGATGTTTCGCGTCTTGTGGTGACCATGACGGCCGAAGACGACCAGCCAGCACCAAGAGTCAACGAAGGGCTGCTCTCATGACTTGGCAGCCTTGGTTGTTGCCAGGAAGCACTCCGAAAGAGTGATAAATGACTCGACTGGTGCCTGTTGTAAGTTCAGTGCTTCGACCCGTCTTCACGGTAGCCGTCGCCTAGAACGGCTCCATGCGGGTAGCACTGTCCGTCAATTCGTCAAGACCGAGCAGGGCCACGAAGCAAGGCACTGCAGAAGCATGAAGCGTTAGGCGAGTTCATTACCCAAAACAAGGACGTCGGTTCCAAAGAAAACCGCACTCCACGAGTCATCCGACGGATCAAACCAACAAAGTGTTCAGTCAAGCAGGTACATGAGCGTCGACACACTAATTACTGACGTTCTTGGTAAGGTCGACCGAATAAACTTTGCGCCTGCATGTTGCTCATCAGCCGGTGCCACATAACAAGTGGAGACTCTCCTGCCCAGGCATGTTTTCTCGGAGCTATTGCAGCATTCGCGGACCTCTTATTGCCCGGGACTATGATCCGATTTTGACTATAGAGTGAGTTGACTTGGGATCCTGGGCGCTCATCGGTGCAGAGGTTCTACTCTCCCGGTAGGGTTGACGAATTTCATACACCAGCCCATCTGACACACTGTCAAAACAGCGTTGTTGTGAGAGGACCACACGTGACACTTGACACATGCAAGACGCCGGACATCACGACACACTACCTGCCACTCCAGGATAGTTGGATGCTGATAAAGTGCTGACTCGATGAGGTCTTGCGTCACCAGCCGGCCTTGGCCGTGTGTTTCGATTGGCTGTCATTGCGCAGAGGAGATGCGCACCGGACATCCCAAGTACCTACGTCCCCTCGGTTTCGGCTGCGTTTCCTCTTTCGGCACTAGATGGTGGAAGAGACTCTGCAAAAGGCTCTTGCGCCGCTGCTTCGACCCGACAGTACGGTAACGGCGCAGAACCTTATTACCCACAAGTTTCAGGCTCTCGCGCGGTAGCGAACGTCGTCGGCGGTAGTTCATCGAAGTCTTGCACAAGCGGAGTCCGATACGAGGGGGAAATGAGCAAGTCGCCAATCTCGCAATCCTCAACCATCAAACCAGACATCAATAGTGAATCAAGAAGAGGATTCGCACACAACATATGGAAGTCGGCATTTGCCCTGCCTACTATTTCCGCCAAGACGCCGCGTCCCAGATAGGAATACATGAAAACGAGTACCAAAGTGCCAGACGTGTGTTTGCCCCCATCGCGATCGTCAACCCAATCTAGCTATGTCATCCCAAGGCGTCGTCAGGGCCGCGGTGGCTTCCACTGCAATGGCAAGACTGTTTACATTCCAATACAAGTCGTCGAGGCTTCGCACGACGTTAGCTCCCTTCGCTTGGAAGATGGAATGGATCGACTCACAGCCATGCAGTCGTCTTGAACCAGACCGCGTTTTCCTTGATCATATTGTCGACGGCGGTTTCGATCGCCACGATGACGCAATCCACTTTGTCCTGAAGCTCTGGGAACACCCGTGTCGTAGACCTGAGGCTAGGGACGTTAGCCTCCTGTTGGCCTTGCACTAGACTGGAGTCCCTGTGGTAGCCGCATACTCTCCATCTTGAATTTCGTGTCGATCCTGGTCCTGCGAACCGTTGGAATCGTCTAGGCTTTCTGATGTCGGGACCACCCGTGGTTTTGAGGTGGCCATCCCTCGTCGGTCTTGGGTCTTGCGGGAAGGCCCTCGGCGCCGTTGGAGAGCTCGGACCACACGTGTTGTCGGATTGGCTTCATGATGCCGGACCTCATTCTGGTGCATTGGGTAGGGACGTTGTGATTGGCCAAGCCGCTGAGGGCGTTGACGGGATGGATACATGATGTCGAATCGACGGTGTCAAGAAGGATGGGCAAAAGTTTGGCGCTAACCGACAACAAGCTGGTGTGCACGCTGCGAGCATTCTTCATGCGACCATGGCGATATCTTTGCCTTTAATACGGTGCGACGCGCTGCCGTGAATTTCCTCAGGAAACAAGGCCCGGCCACAAGCGTGCCAGTGGCGTTCGTTACCAGTCTGTCGGGACGACCTGAATGTTTGCTTGCGAAAGGGAACTATGCTCCGGTGTCTTGAGCGATTGTCGTTGGAACGAAATGGTGCACCTTCCGCCTCCCCCAGCTCGCGTATCACGCTGAGCCACCGATGTCTGCACACGACCGACAGGTGTCCAAGCTCAGTGTTGGTGCCTCTGCAGCGTGCGTATGGCAAGCACAAGGGCACGGCGGAAGGACGGAAGATGTCGTGGCCAGAACCAGGAAGGCTTGCTGATGGGTTCAATATCCTTCCAACATAGGCGCAGAGTGAAGCGCTGATCTCCCATGGCCCTGTGTATGTGGAATCTACGATGGACTACGCGCATCGCCGCCTTCCTATCAGGGGCAATGATGGGTTGGTGAGCGGTGCCAATGCACGGCCGGAGTGGAACTCGAAGACGGGTGCTGTACCCGGCAGTGCCGGGTGATGGCAGACGGCCTCAGAGTAAGGAAACAAGGACTTTGGGTGCTGTGCCACCAGACGAACTTCTGTCGCCCCGCCTCGTGTTGGAAGAAAACATTTCCCCCGTCACGATCTCCTGGCCCTAGCAATACCTCGTCGAACCGGGATAACCCTTCTTAGGGCGGGAAAGGACGCACCGCAATCGAGCGGACTAGCGTAGAGAACCTGGTTTGGGCCTTCTGGTTTGGGCGTCCTCCGGGTCCTTGATGGGATTTACCCGGTGGCGACCGGGGCAAAAAAAAGTTGCCTCGAGCCGACCAGGTAGCGCAGTTCTTGTGTCGTAGATGAATATGGCATGATCAAGGCGGGTGGTGACAGGTGCGAATATGGGACAGGAAGACGCCTCCTGCCCGCCACTTGGTCCGGGTAGCCACGAATCCATCCATTTAAATGTCACTTCCAGACGCGAAATGTTCATGTTCAAGTTTGATGCTTCACCAAGAGGACGTTCATGGCGTCACGACAGATAGCGACTGTCATCGGAAACAGATACACGGCAATAGAGCTAACGATAGCTATGGATGAGTCGTCGAGTGCAATCTCGACGATGTGCTGCTGCTTTGGGTTTTCATTGTCTTCTACGGCCTGCGCACTCGTCGTCATCAGACTCAGTCCTACTGTGGATACCAAAGTGAACCTGGACAGAGAAAAAGATCGGAGAAAAAGATCAAAGGAAAAGAAAACACGTACAGACGCTCTCACACTGTTTCATGCGCTCGACGGAGACCCACGCATAGCTGATAACCCGCTCGGGGTCCGTGGCGAGCAGACCGTCCAACGGGGTCGGGGTCGTCTTTCTACCTCGTCTCCGACGATGTCTCTTGGAGACGAATGTGTCTTCATTCCGATTCGACGCCTTTTTTTTTTTTTGGAGATCTGCTGGTCCTGGCGGTAATAGACACCGTGGAGGCCTGGAGCTCGTCGTCGGTGCCCCTGCTTGGTGTCCCTGGGGAAGACGGCGGCAAACCTTTCCTCCACGGTTTTCCATGGTCGGCGAAGATCATCGCGGAAGTATACAGTGGAATCGACCTGCTCTCTGGTGTACTGTACATTGCAGTGGGGCTGGCCCTTTGAGCGGCGGGTTCGAGGGGAAATGTCCAATTCACGACGCCCTCTGTTGCGCAGGATAGAGTGAGTGCCTTCATCGACTTGTCTATCGAGAAAAAGCGGTCGCTGTTCCTGAGGACGGTCGATAGGGCATATTGGAATGGCGTACCCGGCAGTCGCGTCTTGTTTATAGGTTGCCGTGCGTCACTTCCACGAACGAATAGGAGTGGTGTGCGGCTATCTTGTCCCAGCTGGGTATGATGTTGGCAGTGTAAAGATGAAGTAATTGGGGAAGGACAAGCAAGTCCGGACGCGAGGACCGCCTCCCAACGCCTAATCTATTCCGCTGGTCCTTCATCGCTCACTCAATCGAGTGCTGTCCGACTTTGCCGTGAGCAAGCCGACCGACAAGACTCATGCGGCGGAGTCGGAAACGGCAAGGGCTATTCGTCATGGGATCTGAGCAATCACCCTACTACGTTGAAATCAGGGTTTGCCGGGAGCCGGGGTTTTCTTTGAGGGACGGCCTCCAAAAATTCCCGGGCCAGCCCTGCTGCCCTTGTCGGTCCGCTTTTGAGCTGCCCAATGACGGGCAACACTTCCGTCTCTTCCAGACCGGCCGAGTCGTTCTTCTGGGAATCGCGGTCTTGGAAACATCTCTACTGATCTAGACCAGCAGAAAGACGCAGAAAGATGATGTGACGTCGTTGGGTCAACGGACCATCGAAAGTGGATTTCAACATGCCTCGAACCCGGTTGCAAATGGCTGACGGCCAGGCAAGCTCCCCGGCAGAGCGCCAACATCCGTTGAGCTTCATGGCTGTTTTTCGCACGTTTCCCGTTACGGCAAGATCGCCGCCACAGAGAAATGAGCCACTAGATGGCTCAAAAGGGTTTCCCTGCTGGACCAAGTCCCATTCGCCCACAATCCACGGCCAACGTTCGATACATCCTGGGCTGTATGCCTCACGCTCGCGTTCCAAAAACCACGTCCAACATGGCGGCGACGCCGGTTCGTCATGTCGCATCTTCTTCCCAACAACGCAGTGGAGTGCCTGCATGAGTGCCTGAGGGTATATCGCAGACGAAGAGGTTTCCGAGCACGATGCATTGCCCTCTTCGTGGTAGCCGGAGGGAAGGCGCCTCCTACACGGCGATGCGGGCCCAAGTCCGCGATTGCAATTCGGCAGCGGAGTAGATGGCGAGACCAGCATGCTCGATTTGGCAAGACCGGGCAAGGTAGTTGCGCGGCCGAACAAATCGTTTGGACCACTTGCGAAATAATAGCAGTCTCTGCTTTCTGCCGGGTCGAACTACTGCCACCCAGTTGCGAACGTCAGCATGAGAGCAAGAGCAGCCCTGCTGTCTTGTCACCTGGCTTTCGCCAACGCCAAACATGGACCATGAGCCTGCAGATGGATTCCGCCTCGACGGCTATAAGTGCCTCGGCGCCGCCTTCGATCTGCGCCAATCATCTTCGCATCCAACAGCACTCATCGCCGCCTTGCACTTTCAGCCCTTGGCTCCCAGACCGAGATGTCCCGATGCCCGCCCCAGCCAAAGCGCAGGCCGGCAACTGACTTGCCATGTCAGGGCCAACTTGCCGATCAACAACGCTCCATCGCAGGTTCTTTCATACCAGTTGACGTCTCGTCAGAGACCCCCAAGAACGGCCATCAATGCCTCGGCAGTAGCCTGACCACCGCGGATACTCGGTCCACCGTTCCGGATACACAGCAGCTCCTCCCGTCGTCTGACACGGTCGACATCGCCAGCTTACTGGCACAGCTTCAAAGTCCAGCAACGGGATCCTCGAGGCAAGTCATGAGAGCCTGCCCCGGCTCCGATTGATGGCTGACCCGAAATCAGCTCCCTTGCGAATGACAAAACGCCTAGTGCACAGCCCAGTTTGCCCATGTAAGCACAACTACAAACGACACAGGAAAATACTCATCAAGAACAGTGATAGACTGAGCGCAGTTGTCTGCCGGCTGGAACAAGCCAAACAAGCCCAAATACACAAGATCAGTCACCATCATGACCAGTGAGTTATCTTGACCACGTAGGCATCGAAGACAAAAGTCCTGACTACATTAGATTCGGGCGTATAAGGGATGAACTGAAAAGGATCAAACTGTTGACGGATCAAATGACATGCCCATTCCCATCCGGCGGAGACGGTGTTGTGGATGGGCGTGAATGATCAACGGCAATCTCGGTCTGAAGATCTCGGATGGATGGCGGGGCAGTTTGTCGCCGATTTCGATCATGGCTGACAAGACCTTTGGATTTGTGCGAAGAGCATACCCAAGATGCATCCGGAACTCATGTCGACTGAGTGATGAAGAGGTGCTCAGCACAATGTTTGCTTTGGACGGGCTAAGCGGTCATTACAGCTGCCACTCGACCGATCGCACACACTTTCCGTCAGCACGGAATCCACGTGAAGAACAGTGGTCGGGTCAGGTCGATAAATTGGATCGACATGATGGGTTTGCGTTTGTGAGCAGGCCGCGCTCAGGCTGGCACTGATCTCTCATGGAGACACGTGCAGATGTGTGGTGCTGAATCTGAGGATCCCATCAAAATTATTCTGACAGACTTTGTCTTCGACGACGGTCCGAGGGTCTCCGACAACGTAGGCTGATTGTGTCGATATAGAGTCACAGGTTTGGCCGAACATTCATACCATAAGTCATGGTGTGGCTACTTTTCAAAGGTTGCATTGATTGCACCACCTCAGATCGGACATAGACTATTTGCCACCTTGACAAGCCATAGACGACCTCACACACGAAGGGTCGGCCTGAAAACTGGGCTCCTCCAAAATCCGACGCACCCCAGCTGGTGCGGGCGTCTTCATTGCTTCGATAGCTCGGAGTTGTGACATTCACTCCGGCGACGAGGTGCCCCCCGCCCCATCTTTCCCCTGCCGGCCATCACTCGGGTTACGTCGTCAACGAAACTTTTCGACCCGGCGGACTTCTTCCCTGCCTCTCCACGGCCGCCCTTGGCCTCCCAATACTGTTCCACAAGTTCGCCGTCAGCATCCCGTATAGTCGCTTCTGGCTCCCACGACCTTTCAGGAGATCCAACCCAGGCGACCCGGAAGTCGGTATTGCCACTGGCATTCGTCCTGCAGGACACAATTTTGAAAACGTGCCATAACTCCCGGTCTACCATAGCGCTCTCCCGTCCGCCCGCCATTGAACTCCAGTACGCGAACAGCGTCAACGCATGATCTTTCTGAAGTTCGATCTCAGGCGTCCAGCTCTCCCTTCCCCCCTCCCAAAGGACGTTCATCTCGAAACGAGTGTCACAACTGTGATCACGACGATGCGCAAGAATCTTCTCGATGACTGAGTCGGTTTGCAAGCCAGTTGCGACGGCTGTTGCTCCGATTTCAGGAGCGGGCTTGAACGCTGCGCTGATCGCAGACCCGACTCCTGCTATACTCGCCGCAGAATCTGTGATGGCTCTCGACAGATTAGCACCGAATCCTGCGCAACGGATAGTATATCATACTTAGCACTACATTCTCCCAAAAGGTAGCAGCTTCAGACTCGGCGGAAGAGCCCTTCGCCTGGTGTATCGGACGGTGCATATCGGCCACCGGAGCCGTGAAAGCAGGTGTCGACATATCGGGTTGTTGGGCAGTTGAGCACGCCGCTTACAGGTTCCATGCGTAAGAGCATGGGATACCACGGATGCAAGCCGTTGAAAGAAAGTCGAAAGAACCGGGCGGCTAGCCGAGCTATTTATCAGTTCGAGCAACCTTCTGAAGGGGCCTTGCGCCTGCAGGGATCTGGCACGTTTCCGAGAATGTGCCGCTTGTTGGAGCGAAGCGGAAGTTTGGGCGGGGACACGGCCTGATCAGAAGCATCGGGACATCCTTGCTATAGGAGCGGTGGTGAGCAGGAAGTACATTCGAGTTTGGGGCGCGGTTCCGGGACGCGATCTTCGCGCAAGTCATTTGGCCGAGTTGCAGGATCTAGCGCCCGGTCCTTCTTGCCGGCACTCGGTCTAGGATGTCCGGTGCAGGGAACTGTCGCGCGGGCCACTCGTTCCGAGAGATATCAGTGGATCATGACATGCCGAAGAGATGTGGCTATGCTCACGACCATAACATTTCATCATGTTCGCCAGTACGGGGCAGTCTAATGATGACAGCTGAACGACAATAATATAAACATCTCCAGACGATTCAGACCATCGTCGACGATGCGCAGATTAGTCTCATTAGAGTGCTGGCCTTGAGAGATTCTTCATCGCGCCGTCTGCCACTACAGACACGTTGCCTTCATCCTAGATAAGCACCACACACTGGCTCCCGCCATCCAGTTTCATCAGGCCCGTGTTTCTGCTATGTTACCCAATAGCATGACAAGCAGACTGTTGGTCATCTGGCAAAAAAAAAATGATTCTTGCTACAGGGGCCGGGCCGAATATTTGAATATGGGCTCTCGACATAATGGGCAGTTACTCAACCTCAAAAAATCCCTCTTGCATACAGCGTGGCGACAACACAATGTCACTCGTTGCTTCCCACGCGGCGTCTCTAAGCAGACGGGGCATTCAACATTGAAGACTCTCTTTCTTCGCTGTCTAGGTTTTCGAGGGTGTGCAGGGCAGATACTGCGGCGTCTTCGTTGATAACAGACGGCGCAACACAACTAAGTGAGTTGGTAAGCAGCTTGCGAGGTCTGGCAGAGGGGCTTGGCTTACACATCGACAGTCCCGATACTCAAAAAGCCCTCTTTCTGTCGGAAGTAAAGACCTGCAATCACTGCACTGAGAGCCGCGGGATGACAAATTTGTTGACGTCGTGCCAGCAGGCGCCGCTCTGCTTCTGTTCGGAGACGCACCGCCGGGTACGTAAGAAATCTCGTCATCCTGCGTCAGATCAATGACTATGTGCAGGCGCTCAGCCGCAACGCCGCTCTGGTGCGCTTCAATCAAGTCGATGAATTCCATTTGATCGCTCGAGTGCTGGCTCGCCCTCAAAGATGAGACGATGTTGAGGTGATCAGAAGGGGAGTGCCTTATACGAGCCCTGGCCGAGCGGCTTATGATTCAAGCAATGATTCTCAAAAATATTCAGAGATAGGTAGGGGATGTGGTCGACGGGTCGAATAGGCGGGCAAAGCATCAGTTAAGTATGCATCAAGCAGATGGGATAGCCTCGACGCCCAGCGGATAGACGTATTGCCGACCCTTGGCACCCGAGCAATCAGAGGGTTTCAGCCTCTCGACCAACCTCGGTCTGAGGTAGAGCCCCAGGAAAGGCCGGAATTAATCATCTGGGCCCTGATATAGCGTGATAATTACCCGATATGACAGTTCGGTGAAAATTCCGCAACTGCTCATCCTCATTCGCCGCGGAGATCGTTGCGTGAGGTCGTTTCCCAGCTGGAACAGCAGACTTGTCTTCAGTTGCTTGATGAACAGGCTCACAGGCACTCTGACTCGACGCCTAGCATCAGGCGTCTTCAGCGACGCTGTGATACATGCCAGGTGCTACACAGTAGTTGCGAGCGAGCATGACAATCATGCACCGAGACTTCATGATGGCCATTCGCGGTGCTATTTGGTGGCTTAGGTCCACTTGGACCTAGATATCCTCATGATGTCTCGACCGGGCACTATCACATTCATGTAAGGGCCTGCGATCGCCCGGAGTATCGATTATTGTGTATATTCTGTCAGTCTTCAAGAATTGTAAAGCCATGACGGCCCCCGACCCCCGACCAGTCACGTCTTTCAGGCTTTCTGTGAGCCAGCAAGTACATGTTCCATTCACGCATGTTCGGAACAACGCCCGTCGTTGGTGCTGCCCGGGTGCAGCTGGCCATGCCGAAACCACCGTTTGGCAAAATGAGCACGTTACCACACGTCGTTCCCTCCGTATACGAAATGCTCATAAAATCTGTCAGATCCGGATTGAATGATTGCAAGTACTCAAATGCCACCTCTGTCCATGCCGCAGGACCAGTGTTGTTGGAAATGTCAGTGTTCGTGGGCCTGGGCTCCGTCTCCTCGACTTCGTATCGGCGGGCTAGGCCCTCCACGGATGTACGCACACGAGCTATCATTCTGTGAGAACAGGATTCCCATGTGCTGAGGCAATTACGTTCGTCGAACTCGACGCCAACGACCAGGCAAGCATCGTCGTCGTTTGTGGATCTTCTCGCCGACAGGGTTCGTGACCGGACATAGCGCCCCTACTCCACGAATCACAGGAAGTCCTCCCCAAAGTGGTAAGTGGCTCTGAAAATGGTCCATCTCAACAACCAGAGCGACTCGGCCGCTCCTGGCATTTGCGGAGTAACGGCACTGGCTACTGGGCTAACGGGGACTGCTTGCTGATCTTCTCGTGCCACATGAAAATCGGGCCACAAATGGCTGTGTCAAAGGGATTGAGCATCAAAAACCAGAAGCCGCTCTTGGCCGGAACGGCCTCTGTAGACCCACACGCCCGTGTCACTTTCTAGATTTTTATGGACTGTGAGCATGTGTCTGCTGTCTCAATTAACATGAGGTTTCTATAACAAAAGCCACAATTTCCTCGAGCCACAATGTCGACGCATGCTTCACCATCAGCTTCAAGTCCCAACCAGCCCCCACCGTACTACGTTTACTTCGACTATAACGGCGACACCGGCCACACCAGCCACCGGCTGGCAACCCCAAACACACTACAAGATGAAAAGACAACCAGTCAACCAAAGCAACAGCGACGATGGCTCAACTATGACTCAATGGCCAGTGAGGCAAATCCAAGGACACGGCGAGCTTAATAGCGTACTTTATTACAAGGTGGCTTGGGAACCAACCTGGGAATCTGAAGACCGACTTCAGCACATGTTGCCAGCTCTAGTTGCTTGGGACAGACGTCATGGCTGTTCTGATTCCAGAAGACCACCTTTGCGTCGATATGATCCTACCTTGAAGCATTGGTCGGGGAAAGTCACCGGGCGACGCCAGGCCGACGGCCTGGCGTACTACAAGATTGAGTGGCAAGTGACTAGGGAGCCGGCGGCCAATTTAAAGAATGCCACGAGCCTCGTGAAGGCGTATTGGGATAAATTGTATAGTCTATAGCCTGGCAGCAGAGGGGAGCGTGGAGATGACGGCGAGCAGATATGACTATGGGGATTGATTGCTGTCGCGAGACCATGCAAAGCCACACAAGAATTTTGCACTGAAAATCGTTCTGAAATGATGGGGATATCCTGGATCAAATTTGTCTACATTATGAGACGTACATGACAGAAGCGAAGAGCGAACCCAATCCGCTTCTTTCGCAAATCGCCGGGTCCAAGGTGTAACACAAAATTGCAAAATAGTGCCGACAAACGTTGTATTTCATTTTCCGTCCATCACATATAGCAGACTCGCTTCGAAACAACATCAGCCTCTTCCATACACCTCTTCATAGGATTGGGGCTCTCGGTCAGCATCACCTCCTCTGCTTCGGCACGCTGTTCAGTTGCGTCCTCTACCGCCGTCATTGCCAACGCCATCAGCGGACCAAAAGCGTCACCCTCTAGGTCCACATCCTCGTCATCGGGTGATTGACCGTACGACTTCTCCAAGGCGTTCTCGAACATGCCGCCCGTAAAGCTTGAGTGCAGATCTACGACAGGATCGGACATCTTCCGTCTGGAGCCCTGGAGCGACATTGAAAACGCTGCTGGCGACGCGGTATTGCATGACAGTTCCATAGGCGACATTTCGAACTCCAGGCGGCTGATGCGCTCGGCCTGCGCGTTGATGGTATGACGCTGCGTTTCGATGTGAGCCTTGCATTGTCGGCAGTCTTCGTGAAGTTGCTGAAGCTGCGCATCC